GAACTTGGCGCCTTGTTACAGACCTGCCAAATTGTTGTGTTGTGCTGGCCATGCCTTGCGAGCCTTTCTGCGGCCTTGCATGACATGCTGGCCACTGTCCATCCCTGGCTGGCAGGAACACCAACGTCGAGCGCGGACATCCTCATGGGGCATCGAACAAAGTAAGCGTGACATTCCAAGCAAGTGCTGAAAACTTGGAGTTTGCCTGAGTTTCACAAAGTGAAACCAACCACCTGCTTCACACATTTTGCTTACGCACTTGAGCGCGTAGCAGCAGCTCGGTGAGTAAGAGTTGTCCAAGTGACGGTTAAAACAAGAGCGACTTGCACACGCTTCAACTAGCCTACCTGAGCGCTTATGTTTGGTACTGCAAACTTTTTCCCTGAGACTTCTTTCATGGTTCGTATTTGGCTACTCTTCAGTAGATTTTCTTCAGCTTTGGCCGGACTGAAGTGAGCGTCACAAGGAGCAGCTGCTAAAGATGATACTCTTTGTGGGACTGCTTTGGGCAATTTGTTTAAAGGGGCATTCTTGCCCAGGAATTTGATGGTCTCGCAACATGTCAGGTTGCCGTTTGGGTTGGCGTTTTGGGGACTTGAACCCCAGCTTCTCGTCGTCTCGTGGCGGGAAAACAGACATCCCCTTCCCGACAAATCCAAGCCACTTAGATCGTTTGGATGTTGTGGTTTTTGGTCGGCTGCACTGCTTAGCTGCTTGTTGGATAGCTCTGTTTCGATCAAAGGCTCTGGGGGCTTCGGCCTCGAAGCAGGTTTCTTTCTCCGGCGCCAGAAAAGCCGCGAGCAGATTCGCCTCAGCCAGCGTTCATCTGAGGCAAATGGGATGAGCTGGCAGCAGAAGGTTATGACCTGGTGAAAGGCAAGACTCCTGAGGTGTCTCAGACAGCATGGGTTCCAAAGTTGGTAGCAGCCGGAAGTCAAGCAGGATATTTTAATAGACGCTCCTGATCGGATTGGTGGATGTTGGTCTTTCTGCGGTCTTCGGCATTCTCAAGCGTTGCAGCTGATGAAGAGGGCTGCGGCAGGCATAGACTGACATGGGATTCTGATTCCTGTCATTTGATATTTTGATTGCGCAAGGTCAAATGGCTCGCTCTGGCCTTTTGAACGGGATTTCCGAAGTGTCCAGCTAACCTGTCGCAAGGTTCTTTTTTGCAATCCCTTACTGCAGTGGCAGGCTAAGGCTTCCCATTCCGAGTTTTGTCCAAGTTAATGAGCTTCTTTGTTCGGGGGTGCCGATCTGCAGAAGAATCCGGCAGACACTCGTGCTTTGAAGGGGCAGGTGAGCATGCTGCATGTGCGCTGGCTGGTTGTGATGTGGGGCAAAGTCGATCAAGCCAACATGTAGCCAGACTTGCTATCGGGCGCAACGCCGGCAGCGTATGGGTGTTGCCTAAATGAAGAACGCTTCAGTTCCCATTAAAGCCAGCTTACAGGGGACCAACAACTTTGAGAAATCCTCACACGTTTAAGCCTAACATGGTCCATCACATCGGCGGAAATGGGTGTTGTTCCCATTTGTGTGTTGCGTTTCGTCGGTTAAACGGAAACCCAGATATGGGGATCCTCCTGTTTGAACTCAGTTGCCCAAAGCCGACCTTCTTTATCCTTTTTGGTTTTCCGGTGGTCCACTTTCCGCCAAGGTTACAAAAGGGAATCACCTTTCTACTCCAGGTCCTCGCAAGAGAGCAACATATACCCATTTGGGTGTGCCTGTTTCTTTGAAAACCAAAGCAAGTTGTGGCTTTCCTCGTGGGTTTCTTTTGACACCGCCAAAAAGGGGGCACCCTCAAAGAACGCACACACACGCACACCATCACACACCCATTTGACTTGTGACCCACGAACGAGGTTTCGCGGTTCCCGAGCCAGTGCGACCAGATCTTCTGGTCCTGGCACGTGCAGGCACAGACGCTGCAGCCAGTTCGCCCAAGCCGCGGGCTGAAACCTGGGCAGTCTTGACCGATTGAAAACCCCCGGGCGATTCATTTGGCTCACTTCCCCAAAGCTGACCTTTTGACCTTTGTTATGTTTCCCGGTTTGGTCCATGCAGATGGAGTCATGACCCAAGAAAAAGGTACCCTCGAACAACGACCTATTTCGGAGGCTGGATCTGCACTTCTGCCGAGGTAATCCCGGCTTGGAGCGAGCCATGTGGCAGTCTGACCACAACATGCTGAGACTGAGGGCGGTCATTTGATGGTGCAGCCACGGCCAGCCAAGGCGGTTGAAGCCCAGGTTCTAGCTGTTTCACTCAGGAAAGAGACGCGGATTGTCTGGCTTTTGCTAGGAGGGTTGAACAAAGTGTTCATATATATCGGAACTTGCAACTGCAAGTATTTGGAACTTGCGACGGGGACGGCGGTTAGCTGTGTGCGAGTGTGGAACCTCGCAAGCGGTTTTCAAGGAGCTCACAAAAAGTGGCGCCTGGCACTCCCACATGCAAGCAACATGACTCTAAGCTTCAGGAGCGAGACATTTTCTTCGGGCTCCAGACATACCAGGTTTTGACGACAAGTGCTGGGACTACCAGGGAAAGAACGAGAAGGAAACCTCGGAGGAGTGCTACTTGAATGGAATTTGGAGAGGTTTGTCGCATTTGCTACAACCTTCCTCTTCTGGGCCCGAGTGTCCTCTTCTGCTGCTGCTGCCGACAGGCTGCCGTGCTTGCTGTTGCACTGCTGCAGCGGCCGCTGGTTGCTTCATGCAAATTGCCAGTCATCTACGTTTGCTCATGTAGCTATATTGTAAAAGCGTTTGGGTTTGTGTGCACTTTGGAGTTGCTCCCTTGGCTGAATAGTCATTGATTGCCTAACGTGCTTACCACGTTGATGAGGGTTTCTTGTTTCTTGCACTGCTGCAAGAGCATGATGCCCTTGCAGTGGAAATGTAACTCCCCACTTTGCCTGCCACTACTCATTTTCCGGCGCCCCCTCGCCTTTGACTCGCGTGGTGGTATTGCGATTGATTTTGATTTTGTTTTGTGGTTTCTTGTTTGGTCTGTTAAAGATTTGAGTTTTTATATTTGAGCGAAGCTTTGGATTTTGCGGCAGTTTAGTTTTCCACCTTTAACTGCCTTGCATAAACCCACCCAAAACCAATGTAAGCCCAGCCTGACCCGTGATTCACGGCTAGGATTGGGGCTGGTTCAGGGTTGATTGCGGGTGGGTTTGGGGGTTAGGTTAGAGGTTTGGTGTAGTGGTAGCTTTGGATTGATTTATATAGAGTTGGTCTAGGGTTGGTGTATGTTGCTGTAGATTGGGAGGATTTGTGAAAGATTGTGTTGGGTTGGCATTGTTACATTGAGTTGAGGATGGGCTAAGGGTTGGTCGAGGATTGATGTATGGGTTTGAGGTGGGCGTTTGGTGGGTTGTGGGTCAAGCTCGCCCAAGACCAACCCACCAATCCTACACACACCCTAAACCGTAAATCCTCCTACCAACCAGCATCACTCAGGATGAAAGCCAACAAGCCACACCAGAATTTAAGCCAGCCGGTGCCCAGGCAGTCGTTTTGACACGTGCCATGAGGGCCCTACGCAAACAGCCCAGGTATCATCCGGGCATCGAGATGCTCAGTTTGCAAATTGGCAGTTTGTGGCTCTTGTTCTGCTTACTGAAGTTATGTTTCTTCCTGAAATCAAGGTTTATCCCAGGCAGCCACATGCGTGGCTTGTCAATTCACCTGGCCATTTTGTTTCACTGGCTTTGTGGCGCACGGGAGTTTCGAGTTGGTTGGCGGGTGCATGCCCTGCCTCGCAAAATGCAGACTGGCCTGGCACTTGCCACGCGCTCTTGGAATGCTCATGGAGCGCTCAAGGCACGCTGACTCGCACGGATGGCCCGTATCAAGCCTAAACCTGCTTTAAAAAACAAGGTCGGGCACCTGAGGAATCATCAATGCTTTGCAGATCCACATGGAGGAGTTGTGGGCGAGCTCTGACTCCGCCCCCATCCTGCAGCTTGCTTGCAACGGTGGGGCACACATTCAGGAGATAATTTTCAATTAGACATGAACGAGTGCGCTTCTCATCGCGCCCTGGACTCACCTTGCATCCTTTGCTTTGGACTGCAAATGCGCTGTGTGCACAGATGTGGGGGGGTATAAATGCTTGACACGTAGACTTGTCAGAACTACCCACAAGAGAGTTTCTCGCTTTGGTTTGGATCCAACAGACTCCTGAAAAGGAATTGAGTGCTTGTCCCCTTCTCATAGGACTTGCAGATGCTCAGATTGCGGCATACTGTCATGCCTTGTCACAAACTTATGCAAGCTGCTCTTGAGCGCCATTCATGAGTCCTCATTCGGGGCGAATTAAACAAGTGCCTACTAAGCGTTTACCAGGGACCCGCTGCCGCAGGATAGCCCAGGTGAGGAATCGACAAGCCCCGGATAAGCCTTTTTGAAGCCCAATCCGTAGCGCATCCCTGCCGCTATCCTGCGCGTATGGCAAACCCCTGCCCATAAAGGCCCTGGAGGTCGGTGACCACATTTCCTTGACAGCTCAGCTGCATGCTGCAACACAATCGTTCAGGGGCCTGCATTACGTGAGTGCTCAGGTCAAGCCCCTGGCCCAAACTGCACACCCCAGTCCTGGCACTACGGAGCAGAGATTCGCAACAGCCCTCACCTAGCCAACGCGCTGCAGAAGTGGAGTGCAATCAGATTTCTAGGCACAGCTGAAGGCTGAAGAGTGCATTCTGCTTGGAATGATGTTGTTGTTTTCTTTGCTGCTAGACATTAGACAAGCACATGTTTCTTCTGGCTTGCTGGGACAGATTTCGTAGACCTCAGTTGGCGGACAAGCGTCCCAATATCCTTGTTGGCAGCCCAAGCCCGGCGAAAATTGGCGGAACGCCCAGGGTTTTGGTGCTTCACCAGACCTTGGGAGATCTTCTTTTGCAGCTCCTGCTGAGTGGATCAAGCAGAGCACCCTGGCATCCATTTGCCGTGGACATAAATGGCCAGATCAGATGCCCACTGACTTTGGGAGAGCCATTCAGAAGTCGTCCCTGGTGGCTTCTACGGGGGTGTGCGTTGTTGTTGTTTTTTGTTTTGTTTTTTTTGAGGGCGCTTTTCACTCCTGTTTTAAAAGAGAAACCCACATTTTGTTTGTCGGGGGGGTCCAAGTCCTTACTTTGACGCATACCCAGGCATGGTGCATCAATGTGCAATGAAGACGCCCCGCCAAGACCTCTGAAATAATAATGCGACGCCTATCGCAATCATACTTGGGCTGGGCAACTTACGCCGCTGAAGGGTTCTCACAGGCCATGCAAATCCACGGGTCAG